CCATTCAATGATACTTAGTACAAAGATGCTCTAGGACAATGTACAAACTAATTAGTTTGGGGTAAAAATCTGTTCATATTAATTCCCTAATAAGCATAATAATTCATAATTTTTTGGTTCTAATCACATTTCAATTAAACTTGGAGACATAGATTTTCTGTTACATTGCGCAGACCTCATTAGTTTTACACTTAAATCTGGTCATATTAATTTTCTGATTTGCATAATTAGTTTTCAGCTAAGTAATTTCGAATTATATTTAATGTGTCTCCAATACTCTCAGCACATGGGAGTTCTTTCTAAACTTTCTTTGATTTTAAATACTCTGGGCATTTATTTTGGATAATGTTAAAAATAAAAATGCATAACTTAAATTTGATATGCTGTTTAATGACAAGACAAATCATGTACCTGGTAGTATGCATTAAATTCTGACTAATGGATGCTGTACAAGAATGAATTATAGTACTCCAATCTGGATGTTACAAATGCACTTTTTAATAGAAAATTCAATTCAGCCATTTTTTTTCTGAAATTTCGGATTTCTGTTAGTAACAGTTGTGTGTCTGGGCTTCTAAAAACCCTTCACTAGTTATCAATGCTTAAATTCTCTCACATTGAATTGTAACAAATTATAATTCATTCACTACAGAAAAGTCCACAAATAAGTTATTTTGTAGTACCCATAGACAATTTCTTAACAAGTTGATAATTGACTGAGTAAGACAATATGCTCTATCCTTTACCTTAGCAATGGCAGACAAACTTAAAGCCAGGTGTGTTTAGCTTATATTGCAGAAGGTGTTTTTTGTGCTTTATTGAGTTAAGCATTAATTTTGCATCTCATATGTAATTAATGGAAGTATACTAGGTATCTGTTCTAAGCAGACAGAGAAAGGTGTGAATGTGTCTGAGACAGGCTACTGTTGACAGGAAGTTAAGCATATTTATGAATTCCCCACCCCTAATTAATTAATATTCATGAATATATTAGCACAACTTTTTACTAGTGTCCTGACATAGTGGTCACTTGACATCTGTCCTGTACATTTGACTCTATTGTATGGTCATAATGCATTGGCAGGCTACACACATATACCCCTCGGATCTTCGCGAAATGTGTACATCTGACCACTGTATGTCCAATTGTCTTGACTGTTGGTACTGCTCTACAGCACTAATGTTCTCTTCATTTAGACACCATGGTGATAAGAGACTCAGCAAAGATGCCATGAGGCACTATCTGCGTGATAGGCAAGACATGACATTGGTAATCCTACATGCTAAAGTTGCACAGAAATCGTACGGAAATGAAAAAAGGTGAGTTTGTCTGCATGAAGGTGATTGAAAAGTACCTCTTAAATTGTTGACAAGTGTACTACTAGGTTGCTTCATTTGTATCTCGTTTGATCTCTTCTACAACACTAACTAAATCTAGCCATTTATCTATCTCGCCACCAGGTTTTTCTGTCCGCCTCCTTGCATTTATTTGCTGGGTCCTGGATGGAAGGCCAAGAAGGAACAGATGGAGAAAGATGGTGAAAATGATGCAGGATCTCAAGTGTGTGCTTTTATGGGTATTGGAAATAGTGACCAAGATATGCAACAATTAAACTTGGAAGGCAAAGTAAGTGAGAATGCTTGCTATTCTGTCAATCAATGCAGTAAAATAGCCAAAAGGTTGTAGAAAAGGTTGTTTAAGTATAGTCTCTGTTTCTAGTGTGGGAAGAAGAACCCTTTTGCAAAAATTATGATGTGCCCATGTAAGCTGATTTGGGAGATAAAATATTCCTTGCATTTGTGGTCTTTAAATACTTGACAATGTCCAGAAAAGACACTATTATTATATGTTTTAATCTGTGTTCTCCCCAGGCTCAGAGGCAAGCATGGCGGTCTAATTTGCATACTAATTTGCATATTTTTCAGGATTCACTCTCACAAAAACAAACATACAAGACAGTATTAAAATGTATGAGAGACTTTATTTAAATTACATAATACTTTACATAATATACCATAATTTGACAAGATCGTCATTTAATGTGAACTGTTCCATAAAACTTAGTCTAAACTATTCCTTCTGACTTTGTTGTGCTCCAAACATTGGCTGCCTTACTGTAGTTAAACTCGTCATAGACGTGCACGGGACTTTGTTCCATAAAGAAGATCCACTCTTTGCAATCAAGTTGTGCTTTGAGTATTAACTGCACAACATGCCTCGTGGGAAAAAATGAAAAATAATAAAAAAAAACACAATGAGGATTGAGGTTCAAATAAATGTAAAGATAACGATTGAATTGTGCCACGATCGGGAACCCAGTGCCGTATGGATAGCATTTCGTCTGCAAAACATGTTGTTTACATGTTGGTTTTGTCAGGTCAACGACAAGGAGACTCAGGAATTTCGGGGAAAAAAACGTGGGGTCACTATTCAATTAAAATTAAAACGTAACGATAGTACAAATCGGGATTCCATCGATCATAGCGCGTGATGATAGCAGCTGTCGTTTGCAAGACGTTGACAGGCCGCCATCTTGGAAATACCTACACAGGTCAACATGTGACCGGAAGATTAAAAAATTCAATTTTTTTTTTGCTTGGACAAATTATAACATACGCGTACCCATTAATCTATGAAGATATCCATAAATAATCTAAAAAAAGTTGACAGTAACGAGTGATGTTTTTTTTTCTTACAATCGGCAAAACATACCCACACTGGCATTTTATTTCTAAAATTACGAAATCTTACCTGAACAATTGACCTTAACCAGGGAAATGTCTTTTTCCACGACTCATCAAAACCAGTCTCACGCCGTTTCCGTGTTTCTACACGCTTCCGTTTCTGTGCTGTGCTAGCGGTGATTGTACGTTTTAGCCGGGCGGCATCACCTTTTTTTCCTTTACATGTTTTGTCATATAGCATCTCGGTGTTTGCAACTTGAGTGACAATTTGTTCCCCATTGACAGCGTCTGTACTTCACACGTGTTTAACAATGGGACTGTTTAATTTGTCCCGGCAAGTTCAAACCGCCGTGGCGTTGACAGTGTTAATTTATGCAGTGCTACCTGTGAGCGGGTCAAATGGATGTAAACAATGCATCCTATTAGCAGGGCGGTGAAGTTGCAAGCATGGCGGTCCGAGCCCAAGCGTGGCGGCCGGGTCGCCAAGCATGGCGGTGCCGCCATGCTTTATTCTATGTGGGGAGAACACTGTTATTTCAATGATTTTCAGTGTGTCCAAGTTCAACTATTTCATATAGTAATCCCAAAGCCAGCAGAACCAGAAATGATCTCAGATTGTAATTTTAGTCTAGTATATCTGATGTAATCAACTGCAGTCTCTGCTGAGATTTACCAGTGTTCTCCCCAGGATGTAAACAGCGTGGCGGTCCTGCCACAGTGCTTCGATTTGCCGCCACACCGGTCTGACACCACCATGGTGATTAGCAAGACCGCCACAGTGCTTTTTTCATTGGGGATCTCGTCACGCTGGTCGGCCCGACCAGCACTCAAAATTAGCGACCACCACAGAAACGCGTCCGACTATTGTCATATTGTTATTATACTTGCATACCGACCGACAAGCATCCTGCCAGTCGTGGATAATAATTTGTAAACAATAGACATAGTCGTGCGATGTGGTATCCGCTTTAAATATTTCCTGACGATAGATGCAGTCTTTAGATTGATAGCTAAAATTCATTCAAAATCAATTCCACCCCAATGTAACATGGTCAAGGAGGAGTTCATGATCAGTTTACGCTACTCAAGAAAAAACAACGTGTTTATTGCGTGATTGGGTAAAATACATTTGAACTGTTATCATCGTGAATCATGTAAAAATTCTTCTTTCAAGACTAATTTTACTTTTCAAAAATTGCTAATCACCTCTTTCGAAAACCATCATGCAGTTTTCATCTGAAATCCATACCAACACATCGTGCTACAACATCGCTTTACTTCCGCAATGTAATTTTTATGATCACGATCATTCGGAAAACTTCGGGTTCTACCGGCATTACCATGCGGAAATTCTGATTGCTTAATGGCGTTTTTGACCCACCGGGTCAAAGGACACATGTGGTCAACTAACGCGTCACAGCTATCATGGCGGGTCTGTGTTTTTCATGAAATGATCAAAAATAATTTCTCCCGGTAAAACTAGTTCAAATTTTACGTTTTTTTAGTCCCCGTTCGGACGCAGTCCGAAAACGGGGACTTATGTTTTGTCCTGTGTGCGTCCGTCCGTGCGTCCGTGATCACCTGTATCTCGAACATGCATGGACC